GCATGCGAATGCCTTTACTTACACCGCTGTGCATAGTGAATGGTGTTAGGTTTATGGTACTTTGTGTGACGCCCAACGATTCAACACAAAACCTCGGGGGTTTCCTAGCCGAGGAAGAAGAAGGAGAATATTATGGACAGCTAGAAGAGATTATCGAGTTGCATTATCCTCATAAATATTCCACCGTACTTTCAAAACGTCGACAATGATTCAACCGATGTCGTTCTTAGTAATGTTTCTTCTAATTTCACTCTCTCAATCGACTTTAGCCAGTACTTTCAAAATTCTCAATCGGTTGAAGATGATATTGAAGTTGACCCACCAACGAGTATCATCAATAACGTGTCTGATTGCGAGACTGATTATGATGAGGAAGATTCTGATTATGATAGTGATGTGTCAGCAGACACTAAAGTTTCTGGGGGCGAGAATGATTAAAAAAATCTTTACATTTGACTAGTAAAATAAAGTTTGTATTTGTTGTAATCATATCATATTATATGTATATATATTCATATTGTGTTATAATTTTTCAGGATGTCCTTTTTTTGGATTGCATTGCTCCATCTCATGGCTGCTGTGATGGGCCATGGAGGTGACGGTGGTGACGAGCCACCACATCCGTTCGGTGGAGGTTTTGGTGATCACCAGAACAATGGTAATTAAGATTTATTCTAATTCGTTGTATTTCATATTGTATCTATATAAAAAAATTATTTTGACTAATATTTTTTTTATGCAACAGTGCCTCCGAAACGAAGAGGCATGGTGGTAAATAAAAAAATGCACAAACTATTTAAAGCTAACGGTGAACGGCCTCTTAAGATAGTATTCCACATAAATACTAACATGCCGATTGGGGAGGTATACGAATGTTTTATTCGGGAGGTTGGGAGCTATATGTGGCGTGACATTGGTTTTGATAAAGACACATGGACAGACGTTTCTGAAGCCGAAAGGGTTGGAATGTTGCAGTATCTTTCGGTAAATTATTTATAAAGTTATATATTTAATATTTTTTAATTTTGATTTATTTTTAATTTCTCTATTTTTTTTTGTAGAGATGGTTTGATTTTGACGCGATTACACATCATCCCATGGCTCCAACTTATTGGGCGTCACTGAACAATCGGATATTTGCGTGGTATAGAGGCCGCAAAAATATTGCAAAAAACCATTTGACTGATTTTGCAGGGGATGTGGAGGCAGCAAG